CGTCCCCCACAAATCCTATCCGCAGCCTCATCGTGGCGTGGGGGTGAACGGTTTTGGACTGTTCCAAAAACGTACCAATGCGGAGGGTGCCACGTCAGAGCCTGGCGAGCTACGCGTGGTTAATTTTCTTCTCGCCGAAAACAGTCAACAACGACTATGGGCCTCGATTACGCGTGTTGAAAGCTGAAGGGGAACCACCGACAGGGCGACGTCGGCTGGGACCGCTCGGACGAGGCTGCAAAAATCACAGGGCCAACGGAGATTTGAGTCGCCCAGGACTAGGATGACGATCTGTACTTTCAACGCACGGACGCTTGCATCGGAAGCTCACATCGAAGATCTGATGTTGCAAGCCAGGAAGATCAAGTACGACGTCATCGGACTGACCGAGACGAGGAGGCATCGCCCGCTACACGCCGTACGAGACTGGAGAAGAACTGTTCCTCGGAACATGCGACAGCAGAGGCGTTGGCGGTTGTTGGGCGGCTCGTCAAGCTACGCACTGGCCATGAGACATCATTCTTTCGCGCGTACGAAAGTCTGACGACCCGAATCGGACGTTTGCGATTGAGAAGATGTGGTTCAACTCCAGCTTTGACAATCTTCGTCGCCTACGCACCAACATCAAGCTACGACGAGGATGAGCTCGAAGCGTTCTATATGGAATTGGAGAAGTTCTACAAGGAAGATCATACCTTCTTCAAGGTCATCGTCGGTGATTTCAACGCTAAGATCGGACCAAGAAGAACGGCTGAAGAACTTCACATCGGAACTCACGGAACGGAGTGGAATGAGCAGGGTGAAAGGCTGTCTGAGTTTATCATGTCGACCCACACCATCCATGGTAACTCGCAGTTCCAGAAGCCCTACTCTCTACGCTGGACATGGGAGTCTCCTGGTGGTGGACAATTCCATAACGAGATCACCACATCATTCTGAACAATCGAAGGTTTTGCCTAATCGATGTCGCTGTTGTCCCTAAGTTCTACACGGGATCCGACCATCGCCTCCTTCGCGCAAGATTCCGCTTTTCGATGCGAGGAGAGAGAGCCGCAAAGTTCAAGAAGCGAAGCCCAAAGACCTTCATCAACTGGGATCACTTCACTTCTCTCGCTGGGCTCTGGGAGGATTCTGTCATCGACAACATCGACGAGGAATACGAACGGCTTGTTGCACATCTTCACGACTGCGCCAAGAAGTCAGAGGGTTCCAAGATTACCAAGAAGCGTCTATCTCTGGAAACTCTCGAGCTGATTCGCCAACGTGGAGCCGCACGAGCCGCAGGCAATTACCAGCTGACGTCTGAGCTTGCGAAGCTATGCAGAGGAGCGATAAAAGAAGACCTCAAGGAGAGAAGAGCAGCAGTATTGGTGGAAGCCGCAGAGGCTGGGAAGAGCATACGCAACGCCCGCCGCGACTTCGCCAACTGTAAGACCAAGATGACCGCCCTCCGGCGTCCGGATGGAACAATCACCGCATCCAGAAGGGCAATGGAGAAGGTCATCCACGACTTCTACTCGGATCTCTTCGACAGCCACGTCCACCTGCAACCATACCGCTTGGAGCAGGATGGATATGTCGTTCCTGCAGTTCTCCCTTCCGAAGTCCGACACGCCATCTCGTCGGTGAAGAATCGTACGGCACCCGGTCCCGACAGGATCAGACCCGAACATCTGAAGAATCTTCCGCCAGTTCTCGTCAAAACTCTGGCTCGACTCTTCACGCGCTACCTGATCAGGAATGCAAGGACCCACCTCGTGGAAAAAACCAGCAAGACTGTGTTGCTGTACAAGAAAGGGAGACCTGTACGACATTGGCAATTATCGCCCAATCTGCCTGTCTGTCTGTGGTCTACAAACTCTTCACAGACGAGTATCCTGAACTAGGATTGACGAAACTAGACGAAGGACAGCCATGCGAGCAAGCAGGGTTTCGAAGAGGATTCAGCACGATCGATCACATCCACACGGTAACGAAGCTCATCGAAGTATCGCGAGAGTACAAGATGCCGCTATGTCTCACGTTCATCGACTTGAAGAAGGCCTTCGACTCCGTTGAGACAGAAGCGGTTATCGAAGCCCTGGGCAACCAGGGTATTCCTACTCAGTACATCAGGATTCTTCGAGAGCTCTACAGCAACTTCACGACCAAGATTTCACCATTCTACAAGGAGATCATCATTGATGTGAAGAGAGGGTCGACAGTGGCGAACGCCCAAGCTCTTCAGCGGCCATCGTCCGAGAACGTCAGCGTCAAACTGGAATGAAGGCATGGGAGTGAAGATCGACGGTCGGCAACTACACCATCTCCGCTTTGCTGACGACATCGTTTTGATAACGCCAAACATCGAGCAAGCGGAACGAATGCTGGCTGAATTCGACTGCGCGTGTGGAAGAATCGGTCTACGGCTGAACCTAACGAAGACGATGTTCATGAGAAACGGATTGGTATCTGATGCCCCATTCACGCTCAACGGAACGACCATCTCTGAATGCTCTAGCTATGTGTACCTAGGTCGTGAAATCAATATGATGAATGACCTAGCTCCAGAGCTGAGCAGGAGGAAGCGAGCTTGGGGAGCCTTCAAGAACATCGAGGGAGTAGCGAAGAAGACGAAGAACACCAAGCTCCGTGCCCACCTCTTCGATTCCGCGGTCCTTCCTGCCTTGACGTACGCCTCAGAGACTTGGACTCTACGAAAGCAGGATGAACATGCGGCGTGTTATTCAACGCGCCATCGAAAGGGCGATGCTCGGAGTTTTCCCGCTACACGCAAGTGAGAGAGGGAATCCGGAGCTCCGCACTCCGCCAACGATCGAAGATCAGAGACGCCGCCGCATTTGCCAAGGTTTCGAAGATCAGGTGGGCCGGACACGTCATGCGTTTCGAGGACGACCGCTGGACCAGAGCTGTCACCGACTGGATTCCACGGGATGTCAAGCGAACGCCTGGAAGACCGCCTACGCGATGGTCAGACTTCTTCGTGAAAGCTCTGAACGAACGGTATGAAGTTCATCGTGTCCCTCGAGCTGAGAGAGTTCATTGGGCAACTCTTGCACGTTGCAGGGACGAATGGAGACGTTACTGGCGCCCGCTCGAGGAACTCGATGATCAACGGGAGCACAGGTGATACAGGTGAGGCCTCCCCGTTCCCCTCACTAAACAGCAAAATTTTTAGGTAGAACTAAGAAAGTTCTGGAAATCCCGGAAAACTGGTAGGAATTCGGGGAAACTGGCTCGGAGGATGGGAAGGAAGGGGGAAGGGGCGTATTTTCCTCGCTGTTTTCCTGTTTCGCATGTGCTACATCACCACTCCCCCGCTCGATAGCTCGATGAGGAGGCGGGGGGGGGGGGAAAAAAAAAAAAAGGTTTGGGGGTAGGGTAGGGGGGGGGGGAAAGAGTGTCGCTTACGGACTCGATCAAAAAGCCTCAACATGGATGTCCCTGATTCGCATTGGATGAGCCAACTAGCGGCTTCGGGGGGGGGGGGGCGGATGGCGGAGAGCGCACAAACTTAAGTTCTCTAACAGTGATCAAACGCAGAAAAACCGCTCAAACTTCTAATACCTGTATATGGATCCCTAAAACACCATGGCAGCCTATTCATTAACAGTGGCGATTCGGTATGAAGGTCTCTCAACATTTCGTTACATAGACTATTGCAGATTGCTGATAACGACAGAACTGATATTCAGTTTTTCTCGAAAAAAAGTGTCGTACCCTGAAGAACTGCTGCAGCGACACCACCATAGAAATCGAAAGTGTCGGCCGAGGACTCGATGTCCACCCGGGCTTCATAAATTGCTTTGCCATTAGTCTTCACCTCCCATCGAGCGATATCTTCGAGATTCGCCTGGAAAGAACAAAGAAGAGTCGAGCTTCGGTAACATTCAAGGTGAGTGCCAGGTTTCAAAAGCACATCTGTGGGGTAGGCTCAAAGACAGTTCTCGTGACAAAATATCGCTGATACTTGCTGCTTTAATAAAATGAATCAATAGCTGATCAGTGCTTCCAAAAGAGAGGGAAGAGGAAACAGAATCTTAAAAACACCATAAACGAAACTGCTTCCGGAGGCAGCGTTTAGACTTCGCCGGACAGAAGCGCTTCGGCCGCGCGTTCGACACGATCGATGCGCATGCTTTCAACTGCATCAATCGCGTCGCGCGCGCGACCAAAGCACTGCCGTCCACAAGGCCCTGCGGTCTCCTGTGCAAACCCCTGGCTCACAAATCGCTTTTCACGTCTCCTAGTATTAAATATCATCCAATGCAAAAAATAAGAGAACGCAAAAACGGAAAAACACTGAAGCAAGCTTGCTTAGCCAGAAAACAATTGAAGCTCTGCGTGCCATAAACTGGTGATTTACAGTTTATACGCCGCGACCTGACGGTTTCGCAGTCAGCGGTTCCAACCTGAGGCCTTCCCACAAGTGGCTGATTCCTTCCTACAGCGATCATTGCCGATCACCATTGGTAGAGCAAGGCAGCTGACGCGAGCTCTTGCCGCGCTGCGCTCGCCACCGCCGACAAAAATTGCAATGTTACAAACTAATTCTTAACTTGCGTAATGGATTGTTGTTGACTGTATGTGCTCCTAATGAAGAATATGATAAAGGAGAGCAGGATTATTTATGAGCAGCACGCGCGGTCGGCATAAAGTACACGTTTCCAGTGAGTGCCCCAAGAAAAACAAAAACTAAGCGGCCCTGGTGTAGGTGAGGAGGGTACTCGACAGTATGGTTCCGCGCCAGCTGAAGTGGGTGTGCAGAAGAAAACGCTCGGCCGCTTCTCATTCGCCTGTGAGTCGCGGACAGTGGAAACAGTCTGCCTAGCTTTGGGTTGGACCACTTGCACTACCATCACGAATTATTTTTGAAAGGCAGTTTGGCACAATAACATTCCCTAAGAAGGAGTAGGATTAGCACGGTTGGCAGGAAGGAATTATCCGCACTCTGAGAGCCTTACTGGCCGCCATATTCAAGGGAGGATTGTAAGGCACCTATCCAAGCTGCCAATATACGGACCCGGACGCCCACCACGCAAACCGCCCGGTTTCGCTACAGAATGGACGACCGTACCTGATGTCGCATTGCTTACATTTTGAAATTGGATATGGAGCGAAAGGGTTGACATAGCGGCCGCCGCGTGTTGCATGGATATGTGACTGTATACGTGCAGCCGTATCTACCATGACGGTTCTTGGCAAGATGCCTACGGGCAGCTCGTCCGAAATTGCTTTTTGAGTCATTAAGAACGACAGCTTCTCTTCGCAAATTTCTGTCATTTTTCCCAACCAAATATACACACTCTGTCGCTTTTGGGCGAGATCAACATTATCGAGCAATATGCCTTTGAGGCGGAGAGCTGCTCCTTGAGGATGACCGTCGTGACACCATTAATGCTCTATAATCCTCAAAGAGGGAGAAGCAGCGGGTGACCAAATACTTCTCGCGCTGGCCGCGGTAGCGATTCTGGTGGTACGTCGTCGTTTTGGAGCATTCGTAATGGTGCCCTCGTCCAATCCAAATGATATCAGTTGTCGCAAATGGAATCCCACGAAAGATGCATCCCACGCCATATTCAAGGAAAGCACGAAGCTACCATCCCTCATTGACATATGCAGTATGCATGGCGAACTCAGTGTTACCAGCTATAGCCTTGTTAGTAAAACGCCAGCAATAGTCAGCCGACTTCGAAGAAGATGATCAAAAACAGAAGGTGTGGCCACGTGATAAAACGAGAAGCGCATTTAGCTCAGATTCCATTACACGATTCGGAATATAAGCACCCTTGTCTATGCCGGCGTAAGGGGTGGGTTAACAGAAATTGCATTAAAAGCAGTCGATTGCTGCTTATTAGAGGGAATAATACGCAGAAATTATGCAACAGAAAATTTTCGGTTTTCCCGTTCCAAATCAACCATTTATATCTATGGTCAGGGAGACGTCGTTCTCCAGCTTCGTTTATTGTACAAGAGGCCAACAACGAAACACTTCGTCCATGGAGAGCACCCCAATGAGGGCACATCATCGTTGGGAATCCCCAATAGGAAGAGAGGGGGTCGTATTTGGTGGCTGGGGAAGTGGTCATGATTGGTCTGTGGAAATACCTTCAAAGGCATAGGGCGCGATGGAGTGGTATTCACCAAGAGTCTAAAATGCTAATAGGAGCTATTAGCAAAAAAAGGAAGTGAAACGGTCAAAAACCTGCGAAGAAAAGCCTCCGTTCTTAATGACTCAAGAAGAATGCCCCATTTCGAACGAGTTTCCCTAGGCATTGTGCCAATAACCGCTACGGTAGATGTGGCTGCATGTATGTTGTACTCATATATCCATGCAGCACCGCGGCCGCTATGTCAATCCCTCCGCTTCATAATTTAATTAGCAAATGACGCAATACTAGCATCAAGTTCGGTCGTCCATTTGTGGGCGGACGGCGGTGGCCGTCCGGATCGGTATGTTTCAACTTGATTGGGCCTCATCAGGTACTTTACTTGGAAAAGGCAGGGGCGCGGAATCCCGTCCAGCCAGCCGTGCTAATCCTACCCGTCTTAGAGATTCTTCGTACCAACTACCTTTAATAGTTGATTGCTTTTGTTTCACGAACGTTACAAGGGGACGGTCGTATTCACTAGTCGATGGGAGAGGGGGTCGTATTTGTCTTCTGAGAAAAAAATATGCGACTTGGAACTTTTCCCGTTTATCCCGGTTGTTGACTTTTCGCGGTTTTCCCCATTCATATGTACTATGTATCCCCCCTGCTCTACAGCAAGATCCTGTCAAAGGAGGTAGGGGAAGTCGTATCAGGCGGCCTTTCAGAGGGAGGTCGTACGAATTCTACCAAGATCCCCAACTGGTGATGTTCCCTGTGGCCTAATCATGCACATCTTACTCATGTATCCTCAGAACGTGGTAAATCGACATGCCTTGGGTCCCAGTGAGCAGGACGTCCCGGAGAGATGCCAGAACGACTTTATTCAAAGGGGTGGGCGGTTGGTATCTCCTGGCATCAGAGCGACAGTCTGTATCCCTAATAGAAGACGCGGTCGTCGTGGTCAGGTTCTTCCATTCAAACAACTACGTTTTTGGTGTGATACCCGACTTGTGAGGCACAGATGCAGAGGGGTCGAGAGCCGACGCGCCATCATGCCGAAGGAATCGGGTCTCGGTGCGAATGCTGTCCCTTGCTTACACGCTTATTTCAGGCTCTCATCGCGACTCGAAGTTAACGCTCCATATTCACTTCTATAAGAGGTGTTCCTTCGGTTTCTAATGATCGCAATACCCTCCTCGCTCAGTGACCAGCGAAAGTGGGACAGCTTCTGAGGTTTTCAACCGGACTGTGTGGGTTGTCGAGGAATATGCCTTTAAACCCTGTGCCTTTTGCGAGACAATAGCGGGAAACATGGTTTCGCATCTTGTCTCCGTGAAACCATGCCCGGGAATCTCGCACCCCGTATAATTCTAACCAGGTAATGTTGTGTGAGAAGTCCTTACAACGGCTGTGCGTGTTGGATACGGGTGCGGCTATGTTGTGCCGTTCTTGAGTTGGATCGCAACGACTTTCTGCCCCCGCGCATATCATTGGTTGGAATTCCGGCACTGGTTGGGATTTTGGTGGAGTCGAGTCAGCACGACAGCACTCCCCCTCTGGTTGGCCTTC